TCCAGGGTAGGGATTGGTCCGATTTCAGTGCTGAGCTCAGATTGGCTAGAGCTCTGCTCCGGGATTGGTTACTTTTTTACACAGGATTAGGGTCAGATTTGGCTCTGGTTTCAGGGCCAAAGTGTGTTTCTTTCTCTGGTCCTTTTTAGCCTTTTGGCTCCAATTTTAGGGCCAGGGTACATTTCTTTCACTGACTCTGATTCCAGGGACAAAGTGTGTTCTTTTGGCACTGGTTTCAGGGTCAGGGTGCATTTCTTTGGTTCTGGTTGCAGGGCCAAAGTGTGTTTCTTTGGCTCTGCTCAGGGTGTGTTTCTTTGACTGGTCCCTTTTCCCTACAGCCAGGACCAGATTGGAGTGGGAAGAGGTAGCCCCTAGCTCTTTTGTAGCCTGCTGACCATCCTGAAGTTTAAAGTCAAAGCACTTACTGTTGATGAATATCCAGAGATCGAGACCAAGTGGCCAGGCCCACAAAAAGCAGGACATGTGCTCCGTCTTGACTGTGTGGGAAGCAAGTGGCTCCCTGCAGAGACTTCACACGGCCTCTGGCCATCTCCTGGGGTGTATAACATCCAGTTCAACACAGAGATGGCTAGGATGGTGGGTGGGGTGAGGTTGAGGAAGGTGTTGGGATGGGTGAGATGGGTTAGTAGATAAGAGTGCCTTAGGTCAAGACTGATGACAAGTTCAATACCTGGGACCCACAAGGAAGAAGAGGAGAAACAAGTTGTTCTGTGACCTTCACCCTCCTATTGCATTATGTGTATGTGCGTGCGTGTGCAGACGTACAAACACACACACACACCCTAAGTAAAAGCAAATGAAAAGTACTGGGGCAGCGCGAGGGTTCAGGGGGTAAACTGAACTTGAGGGCACTTGTTTCAGGCACAAGCCTGACAACTTGAGATGGAGTCCCAGGACCCATGGTAGAAAGAATTGGCTCCAAGGGTTTGCTTCTGATCCCCATGTGTGTTCGCGCACACACAAATGAGTAAACATTTTTAAGGTGGAAGGAGGAGTGTTGGCTGATAGAGAGTAAGAAATCCTGACTCATCAGGAAGCCAAGCTATACCTACAGCCACCGTACAACAATCCTGGAGGACAGAACTGCAAACTCTGGAAGTTGGAGTCATAATACAGCAGCTCAGCCCTGGAGGGAAAGGTGTCCTGACTTGTCCAGAAGCCAGGCTACCTGTAGCTGGGGTGTGGTGGGGGATGGTCTCTGTAGGGAAAAGGGACCAGTCAAAGAAACACACCCTGAGCAGAGCCAAAGAAACACACTTTGGCCCTGCAACCAGAACCAAAGTAATGTACCCTGACCCTGAAACCAGTGCCAAAAGAACACACTTTGTCCCTGGAATCAGAGTCAGTGAAAGAAATGCACCCTGGCCCTAAAATTGGAGCCAAAAGGCTGAAAAGGACCAGAGAAAGAAACACTCTTTGGCCCTGAAACCAGAGCCAAATCTGACCTTAATCCCTGTGCAGAAAACTAACCAATCTTTGAGCAGAGCTCTAGCCAATCTGAATTCAGCATTAAAATCGGACCAATCCCCACCCTGAAAGCCCTATGTAAACCCTGTGTATGTTCAGCTTGTGGCTGTTCGCTCTACCCAGCTGTCCTCTGCCACTCTGACAGAGGGCAGCCACTCTCCTGGATTCTTCCCTCCCAATAAACTCCTTGGATGAGCTTTGGGTGAAGATCTTCTTTTGCGGGGGCGGAGCAGAGGCGACCCTGGGCAGAGCAGAGGGAGCAGGTCTTTAACACTTCTGCAGAGGAAACCTTCCCTTGGCCGAGTGGAGTTGTTATACTCCGCTCTCTGCTGTCCACTCTCGTCTCTCCCGGAGCAGAGCTGAACTGTAGCAACTTCACCAAAGAAACCTCCTGTCGAGCAAAACTGCTACCCTGGGGGAATATCCCCAGCTGGAAGACCCTGTCCTGCCCAGTGGAACTGATACACTAGGGAAGCCTTTCCCTGAGGCAAGGCTGTAAGCTTTCCACCTGAGCTGTGTAACACTCAGTATTCTGTGACTCCTGAGTGCCAGAATACCTGTCCGACCCGATCTGACCGAAGTGCCAACAGTCTCCATGCAGAATATAGCAATCCTTCTCCTCTCCTACAGAGAGCAATTACAGCTGAGCTCTGCTCCATTCCCCTAGAGGAATGCCTAGCAGAGCTATGCACTTCTTCCTCAGCCCATGGTGTTACTTCTCTGCTACACTCTGCTAAAGCGGAAGCCCCTCCAGAAATGTAGCAATCTCCTCCCGCTCCAGCGAAAAGTTATTTTTTCTGCTTAGCCCCCCCCCAAGGAACATCTCAGCAAGGTTTTTCTGCGAAGTCCCCTAAGGGGCCTCTCACCAAGGCTCTTTTGTTCTGCACAGGTGAATGAAGATCTTCATCCAAGACTCTTGTGAGAAAGAGATTTATTTGGGAAGGGGAAGTACAGGAGAGTGGCTGCCTCTGCCAGGGTGGGTTAAGCACAGCCAGCAACTGAACAGGTAGAGGGGCTTATATAGGGCTTCTTGGGGGCGGAGTTTTCCCAGGGGGAGGTTTTTTTGCTCAGGGATTGGGTAGTTTTCCTGCTCAAGGATTGGTTAGTTTAGTTGGTGGGGCAGAGGTGGCTCTGATTTCAGAACAAAACTGTGTTTCTTTCACTGGTCTTTTTTAGCCTTTTGGCTATAATTTATGGTAAGGGTGTATGTCTTTCACTGTCTCTGACTCTAGGGACACAGTGTGTTTCTTTGGCACTAGTTTCAGAGTCAGGGTGTGTTTCTTTGGTTCTAGGTCAGGGATAAAATATTTCTTCACTGGCTCAGGTTTCAGATCTGGGGTGTGTTTCACTGGGTCTGGATTCAGAGTCAGGGTGCTCAGGGATCGGTTGGTTTTTCTGCTCAGGGATTGGTTGGTTTTGCGTTTCAGTTGGTCAGGGGCAGAGATGGCTCTGATTTCGGGCCCAAGTTGTTTTATCTCCCTGGCTCTAATATCAGGGCACATGTCTTTCACTGGCTCTGGTTCTAGGGCCAAAGTGTGTTTCTTTGGCTCTGGTTTCAGAGTCAGGGTGTGTTTCTTAGGGTCTGGGTTCAGGGCTAAAAGCCTTCCTTTTGCTGTTTAGGTTTCAGATCCAGGGTATGTCTCTTTCACTGGCTCTGGGTTCAGAGACAGAATGGGATTATTTGGCTGCTCTTTTACTCTACAGTGTGTCTAAAGATTCACTAGGGACACTGAACTTCATCGTCCCTTCCACACAGCAGAGAGATGACATCTGCCTTTGGAAGAATGGACAGGACTCATTGTGGTCTCCTGAAATAAAAAAGAAAGGAAAGCTCTGCGCCCTTCATCTTCTCCATACATTCTCCGTTGTTTCCCAGTTTTTAATCGATCATCCTGGGGTGTGTTCTCAGAATTACCAGCAGGGGGCGCTAGGTCTCCATTTTAGTCCCAAACTGCCGCTGGTGGGAAGGAACTGGTCCCAACAGGTATGCTCCAGGCCAGGTGTGACTTGGCCCAGAAAAGGAACCAGGAGTTCCATGAAGTCTGAACTAACTGGGCCTGAGTGCTTATCTACGAGAAGTCAATCACCGTTTCCTACTCTGACTTCCTCTAGGTGTGTTTGCATTTGGGAGTGTGTGTGTGTGTGTGTGCGCGTGTGTGTCCACATGTGTAACCCTGTCTGTGTGCAGGGGAGTCAGGCCATGTCCTGGACTCTGGGCTGTGACCACACAGGATGACCTCGGATCTTGGAGAAGAGGGGCTGCTGGGATGCACATGGGTACCTCCTGCAGGAGAGGGGTCTATGGATAATTTCCATGGGGGACATTCATCTGGTCTGGGTGCAATCTGAAAAGCAGACAAGACTGACCCAGCCCTTCTCAGCTGCTCTGTTTTGTCCCTACGTGCCTGAACCCCGCTTCCTGGACACTGACTGACTGAAGGGCATGTCCTGGGCTTCCTCCTTAAGATGGGGCACAGACAGGAGCCTATAGAGCGAGGCCATTGAACAAGCATGGAGGGACAGCCCTGGAGAAAGACCAGGGGCAGGTGCTGGAGAGGCTCAGCCACAATGGCCTCCAGAGCCTGGAGGAGGTGATGTAACCAGAGGATGTGTCTAGGCAGGTGACAGGAGACGGCTGCACCATGACTCCTGTCCTTGAGGGACTGGTGGGTCACATGGTGGTGTTGATAATTCAGGGCTTTACAGTTTGCTTTTTTTTTTTTTTTCATACCCTGTTTCTGCAAGGAAGACCAGAAAGGTAAGCTCAGAGAAGCTAAGTAAGTAACCACAGGAAGTACAGCCAGCAGGTCTAAAACATCAGGTCAAGTCTGAACTGGTTCCTTAGGTGGCCTCTGCCCCTCTTCCTCCCCCCACTTGCTGAGGCAGAACCCCGGTGAAGCAGAGGGCAGGTCTTGGTCTGATAACTCTGTAGCTTGTTTTGTTTTCAAACTCAGATTACCCAACCTGAATAACATCTAAGGACTTGGCTGTCAGCCGCAGCATGTGCAGGAGGTCAGTGCACAACCAGACTGCTGTTGTGGTCCTGTGTGGCACTGCTGTGGTCCTGTGTGGCACTGCTGTGGTCCTGTGTGGCGAGTGTGCAGGACACCAGAGGGCTGCTGTTGGGAGAGTGTGTGTGTGTATGTGCACACAGGGTGGGCACCGGGATGGAAGCCAGGGTCTCTGCCCCTGACCACACCCTAACCTAGGATGCTGGGTATCCGCACAGGGCATGCACTCTTCACAGGGAACCCAGCAGGGCAGAGGGAGGCTTGGGGGGGTGCTTCACATGTGAGAGGTGCGTGACGTGGGGAGAAGCTTGGGGAAAGGTGAATCTTAGCTCTGCTGTGTCTACCCTCCTAGCTCTGCGCCCACAACAGCTGCTCACGCCCTACCTTGTTTTCCTGATCGACGGAGATATCACTTGGCACTCAGAGAGTTGCTGGAAGGAACAAAAGAGAATAGCTTCAACAGAGTAGTCTCCAAATCAGCATGGCTCTCTCTGTTGACAGGGGCTAGGAGGCCGCCATGTCTGCAGGTGGCAGGTCTACGGTTACCTTCTCCAAGCAGATCCTGGACAGCACTGGGCACCACAGCAGACCACTTCCTGTTCTCCTGAGCCCTCCTCGTACCATCATAGGTGCCAGATAAGCCACTGGGCACGGTGTCATTAGCTCCTCACGTCTAAGGTATGGTGGAGTAGATCTGAAGACGCTACCCCAGAGCCCTCACCACACACCCTCCCTGATGGACTGTTTTCCGGGAAGAAGTACCTGTAATGGCACTCTCCTGTGTGTGACGTGGGCAATGGCGTCCTACTGTCTCTCCGGTGCACTCTAAGCCTGGTAATTCTGGGTTCCAAGCCTGTCCACTGCAGCTCTCTGCCCATGTGGTTGTGGAGAGGGTTGCAGCCAAAATGGTAGCCTTACTAAGTTGCTCAGGATAACCTCAAACCCCAGGGCTCAAGCCATTCTCCTGCCTTAGCCTGGCAAGAAGCTGGGACTGTAAGTCTATGCCACAGCCACAGCAAGAGAAGGTTACAGCCCAAACACGATGAATCCCTTGTGCCTGGGACAGCATGTAGAGACCTCTTGGCTTCGTGGTGTGACACTGTCTTTTTAAGCCTCAGACTCGGAGACTTTTATTTATATGACACGGCATGTTGGCGACAGGATTTTACAAACAGAGCACTGGAAGGGGTGGATAGACTTCCTGGGTAGAGCAGTGGGGGAATTCCTGTGGCATCTCAGACAGCTGTGTGACTCTGGTATCAGGGCGGAGCCCACTGGATGGAGGCAGCCGGTGTCCTTGAGCCTATCCACTGAGCCAATATGGTACATGTACACCAACACATGTATGTAATTAAATGATGATGGTGGTGGTGGTGGTGGTGGTGGTGGTGTGTGTGTGTGTGTGTGTGTGTACACGTGCAGGTCTGCAGGTGTCAGACTGCATTTATGGAGGTCAGAGAACCACTTTCAAAAGCCAGATTTGGGACTGAACGCAGGTCATCGGTGTTGCAACACACAACTTTACCTTACCACTCGCCTCCCTCCTCCCTACATTTAAGAAAAAATCAGTTTCTTTGTTTCTGTCTGTCTCTCTGCTTCCACTGCCAGGATCATAGAATCAGGTGGGGGAAAACTCACCTCGCCCTGTTTCTCTGCCTCTTACCTGAATGGTCCTGGAACTGCTGGCTGGGGATCCCCCTCCCATCCCACTGTGGAGTCAACTTGGCCCTGGGTTTGCCCTTCACAGCTCTTGACGCTAAATGCTTGCTTGGGTGTCCTAAGTGGGCTCAGGTTGGGACAGCTGTGCTCCTGGCCCCCACCCCCAGTCTGCTGGGTGACGAAACTGCTGAGGGGACAAAGGCAGCCAGATCCAGATGCCCTCGGGGCATGGAGGCTCCAGCCTAGCCTGTCTGGGTGTATTTATAGACCAGTGCTCACAAGCTGGGGGAGAGCTGTGTGTTTCCTGGAAACGTGCTCACTCTCTCTGTTACAGAAGACTTTCTGGGGAGGGTATCCCGGTACAGGGGAAGGGGCCTCGCTGGCCTCGAGTCTGCCTTCTGTGGAAGGCGAACTCGGGCCTGATACCTTTCACTCCATTTCCACTCATTGTCCCTTGACAACCTGTGACTGGCCTACTGGCCTCAGGATGCTCTCTGCTAACTCCTTTTCCTGCCAGGCCTGTCCACATTCCTCCCAACCCAAGTGCTGGGCTCACCTCCTCCCAGTGGCCGTGCCTCTCTGTTCTCTCCTGCTACACAGGGAATTTGTCCAGGCTTGTTCTTCTGTGAAGCCTTCCTCCTTCCCTGAGAAGCACCCCACTTGGGATGTCCCTCAAAATGTCTTTTCTCGATTCCCCACCACGGCCATGTGACCTGTTTCGTCTTCATGCCTAAGACCCCACCTATGCATTTCACTGTTACTCTTAATTACCTGTATCTCTTTCTCCAAACCATGCTCTTCAGAGCCAATAACCGGGCCTTCTGTGACTTTGTGTTCCTACCTGTGTGTGGCCCATTGGGGACACAGAGCCGATGTGCATAGGAACAGGGGTCGGGGGCTCAGTGATGTAGCTGCTGGACACTCTTGGCTCCTTTCAGTGGGAGACTTGACTTAAGCCAGCTGTGTTGCTCTGGTTGTGGAATTTGCTAGCTTCCTGATCCTCTAAGTTTCTCAGCTCTCCAAATGTGAATTTCCTAGTCTGCAAAGCAGGACATCAAAGTGGCCCTTCACACTATTAAGGGGAAGTTGTCAAGGGACTTCATGTCATGGGTCTCACAGAGCTCCGGACACAGACGCACACTGTCAGCATGTCCTGTGGGGCCCTCTTTCAAAACAGCAGTAGACCCTTGCTTTCCCACGGCTGTCTCCAGGCTGCCTGGCTGATCTCTGTCTGCCTTTACCGGTCCCACTTCATCTGCTTTCATCACAGCCGTCAGACATGACCCCTTAAAGATGTGTCATGTGTTGTGACTCCTGCGTGAACCTCTTCTACACTGAAAGAAAAGGCCTGTGTCTTCACTGTGGTCCTGTACGAGCTGACCCCTGGTTCATGGCTCTGCCTCTCCGCTTCCCAGCTTGCTCTCCCATCTCCAGCCACGCTTGCCTAGCCTAACGCCTTCCCACTGAAGTCTTCCCATGAGAACCCTTGTGCCTTCCCACTCACTTAAGAGTTCGTGAGACGCTACAGGCTAATCTCACCTCTGAGCCAGGCACAGAGGAGCACACCTTTGAGCCCAGCACTTGGAAGAGAGAGGCAGGTGGATCTTTGTGAGTTCAAGGCTAGCCTGGACTACAGAGTGAGTTCCAGGGCAGCCAAAGCAGCACAGTGAGACCCTGTCAAAGGGAAGAAGGAAGAAAGAAAACAAAAAAAATTAATCTCTGATACCTTCTATCCTTTTTCTTTGCTTTATTCTTTCACAAACTTGACACGAGCTAGAGTTATTTGGGAAGAGGAACTGAGAAAATGCTCCTATCAGATTGCCTGTAGGCAAGCTTGTAGAGTGTTTTCTTGATTAATGATTGACAGGAGAGGCCAAGTCCACTGTGGGTGGTGCCGCCCCTAGGAAAATGGTGGGGGCAGTATGAGAAAGCAGGCTGAGCAAGCCATGGAGACCAGGCCAGGAAGCAGCACTCCTTCCTGGTTTCTGCTTTAGATTCTTAGTGACTTCCCTCAGTGACAGATTGTGTCCTGGGAAGTTTAATATGAAATAAACCCACTCCTCCCCAAACTGTTTTTGGTCATGACCTTTATCATAGCAAATAGGACTCAAAGCAAGACAGGTGCTAATACACAGTTTTATTTCGTATATTCACTTGTCCATTGTCTCTCCCAGTGGAACATGATTTGCCTGTAGTGTTTGTGTTATGTTCCCAGCTTCTAATACCAGATATAAATAAATGCCCTGTAAAAGAAAGAGATTAGATCTTGGGAGTTTTGCTGGAGTTCAGTTACCCCTCTGGGCATGAGTGGGGAACCCCAAGAGCACGGGGATAGCAGCCCAGACTGTGGAGTAACTTGGCACAGCAGTCTCCCAGAGTCTGGGCTTGGCCTGGTCCCGCCTCGCTGGCCTTGGGCATCAGAACTGAGTCAGAAGGCAGCACCAAGCCCGGATTCTGCCCCAGACTGGACTTTCCCTCCTCCCAGCCCAGCCCAGCCTCCCCCAGTGGAGGGTTTGGCTGGGAACACTGAACTCATCCTTTTCTCTGGGGTGGATGGGGCTCAGCCTCCACCCAGGAAGAGACAATGAGTGTTAGTCAGCTTTGAAGCCCCGTGACAAACATACCTGAGAAAACCAACTTAAGGTCTCGTGGTTTGTTTTAGCGTGGGATACATGGGTTCATCCCCTGGACCCTGGGGTGAGGTAGAAGATGATGCTGGTGGGAGCCGGTGGGGAAGGAGGCTGCTCATCTCGTGGCAGCCAGGAAGCAAAGAGAGAGGAGAGGAGTCAAAAGGACACAGGATAAAATATACCATTTAAAGGCCCACTGTCCACTATTGCGCTTCTGTTAACTGGGCTCCTAACATTGCTACTGGCTCCTAAGCACTGTTAGCTGAAGCTCCAATCTTCCCACGTGAGCCTCTGGGAGATACTTAAGATCCAAGCTGTGTTTTCAGCATGTTACAGTCCCCAAGCTAGAGCCCACACAGCACTGCCCGTAGCGGATTTTGTCCAGTTTTATTGGGGTTCTCATAGGGCCTTCCTAGGGGGAACGTTATGCCACCACCCTGGGATTCAGTATCCAAGAGCAGCAGCGTCCCTCTAAAGTGAGCCCATGACCTCGCATTCCAGGCTCAAGCCCAGGCTTGTTTCCTCCAACTCTCGTCTAGAGATTCTTGGTTCTTGAAGAACCCCCTGGAGGATGGGAGGTTTCTTGGGTCGGAAGTGGGAGCCTCTCAGGGTCTTGCTGCTCAGATCATACCCTCTGCCCCCTCTTGGTTTCCTCTTCAGGACTTACCACTCTCTCCTGTAGCCCAGGCCTATTTCTCTCCTCTGTTCTGAGGAGCTGCTTGATAAAAGTCATGAATCTCTGTCCCCAAGCCATTCTGGATGAGAGCTCATTAATGTGTGGGGCAGGTACCATTTAAGGAGGAAGGTGATAATCTGCCACAGTGATCTTGTCCCTGCCCCACAGGGACTCACAAAGGCTCCAGGTAGGGTGAGACCTGAGAATTCTACCTGAATTATAACGTGCTATCTTGGAGCTTCCATTTAAGAGGCTGGTGCCATTCCACACCCTCTGCCATGGGCTTGAATGCTGAGCCACTCCAAGAATGTGGGGAGCCCAAGCAATGCTTTTCTCTCACCCCACCCCAACCCCCATTTTTAAAGTAGCATCACCCTGCAGCCTTCTCTGCTCAGGAGGCTGACCTGAGCTGCCCCGCCCACCCTCCTCTGTTCTAGGTCCCAAAGGTCCCGTGGTCAGCACCATCATCAGAGTATCTGATGGCCAGTCCAGCCACCGTATAGCTGGTGATCCAGTCACAGGTGTCCTTTCATTCTCGAGAAGCCTGTGTGTAAGCTCCTAGAGCAAACGTTGTCTTTACTTGGTTTCTTATGTCAGTATCTAAGCCTGGACATTACCTGATGATTCTTAGTGGCCTTTAGAAAAAACCCATGGGACAGAGCTAGGGCTGGGGGTGGGGAGGAGGGCTTATATGGGGAGCAGGGGAGGTTCTTTAATGTGACGATGAGAAACCACATAGCAACAGGCATTTGTAATAGTTAATATTTATTGAGGGCTTACTCTATGCTAAGTGCTGGCCCAAGCATTCCACATGACTTAGCTCACTTAATATTCATGGCTTGTTGGGGCAAGAACTACTATTAGACATATTACATGCAACCCGCAGGCCTGGGCTGTGTGGGGGCCATGGAGCCCATGTTGTGAAAATAACATGAGAAGAGATGAGGAAGGAGAGGCATAGTGGCCCAGAGACCCAGTGATACTCAAGAGAGCTCGCGCCTACAGTCCTGATACCTCAGCCGGCCTTCCCCAGACTTGGGAATGTCTGTTGGGATTTTCCAGTCCCTAGCTGAACTTTCCCAAACATAATTTAGCAGTCAGGAGCCAGGTGTTAGGAATGTTTGTCTGGTGTGCTGGCCGTTTGATCCATTCAGCCAGACGTTTCCCCATTTGAACGAGAGTAAAAGAGATAAAATCACTTAGCCCAACGCTGGTCTTTAACTGCACTAGTTCTCCAGGGAGAGAATGGCGTCCTCTTTCATTTTAACCCCACCAGAAAGGAGCCCCTGAGGCGGGTGACCTGAGTCTCTGGAACTTGCTTTCTTTCTTGCTCCCCTCCTCTTTCCCCGCCTCAGTCCCTCAGGAAGCGTCCCTGCTGGCCTCCCTCCACAGGCCTCAGCTGTGAG